CAGGAACTGTGTGAGAATAAGCATTGATATGCACAACCGGAGCAAGAAAAATGCGAAGATTTTGAGGCAGTGACAGATTTCACTATCATCCAAAGGTAAAACTAAAACTATTAGCCAGTATATTCACCCATTCAGCTCTAATCTCGATTGAACCACACCGTGATCCTCACGCTACAAAGCAGGCTACTTGTCTTGCACGTCTCGTTTGGTCAAGATATAAGACGAATTGATACTATCCTGTTGATTTAAACGATATTTACGGTCAATGTCCATTGACACGCCTCTTCTGGCCAAATATAGGTAAACCAAAACGTTCTTTGAAATGTCCTCAGATCCATTTTGTCTGCTTTTCACTTATAACATGCATTTTCGAGCGCTATGTCAATCTATACTGCTTTACTGAACTACTTGAGGGAAACTTTATGTGGCTGTTCATTTGAATCTGTAGAGCATTCCCTTTCAAACGTCGGTGTTGGTTGTACGGTATAAAGGATATTTACTGTAGCCGCCGAAATGTTTGCATATGCTCTTATAAACAGCGCTATCTATGAGATACTAATTAACCTTTCCCAGCTATGTATAGTAAAACGAGAAACAGCGGTGACAAACTCTCATAGATGACGCCACGATGTCTCATTTTATCTCTGATTGATTTTTCGGACAAAGCAATATAGCATGATGTTTGGCTATCTGCAGATATAATACGTTATTCAATACCAATAGATAAATTAGATCAAGACTTGTTATAAATTTGTGTAAAGGAAATGTATTTGCTATATATTGGAAAAAGGCCACATGACTTTCTCAAAGATGATCACGTTCAAAAGTTTCAGCGACTTTTATATCTTCCGTTCTTTACTTTTTTTTGCCGCCATTGGGCCGATTTTGAAAAACTACAGAGCGTTTACGTCCTTGGCACAGTGTGAGAATTTCATTAATATCTGAACGATACTTCCCAAGTTATAGACCGAACAAGGTTTAGCGGATAGACCGACAGACAGGGCGGCCTGATGTAGACATTCCCACTTCCAAAAGAACGTCTAGCCCCCAAAACGATTAGCGAGGATGAGGTTATCTAGCGATTTTTAATTGTACTAAATACGTCACCCGCGTCCATCGTTCCGAAAACGCTAAAAGCCCTCTAGGATGGTAACGTATCTGGTACACTATGGGACAATTTCACCAACAACAGTCCGTTATTCTCCACCTATAGGGTAACAGCCCGTTAAATACAACGAATGAGCTTCAAGTTCCAATCAACAAATTTTAGCAACCAACAGCTATGAAATGTTGAAAACAAAATACTGTCAAAGTATGAGATGTTTGATTTTTGAATAAGATTCATGATTTAATTACTATTGTTGATTTTTTATTCATGTCTATATTATTTTCATCAATTGATATGCGATTTTACTGATTCGAGATCATCTACTGGGTGTTTCTTCCTATAAACCTCTTGCAGATAGCAATTAAGCACCTACTTGATGACTGGCTCTACCAAAAAGTTCATAGATATTGCTCGTTTCCAAACATTCTTTCATTTACTTGCCGTTCATCAGAACCATTATGGCACCTTAGATTGATATTCCCACAAAACCATTCTGGTTTTTTAATATCCATAGGATGTAAAGTTGAATATTTTTCGTTGTTCAGGAACTTAACAAACATCCACACTATATTCACAGCGATTAAGGAATACCCAAATATATGTCTTAGAGCTACCAGCAAGCCGAAAACCTGCAGAAAAACTAGAAATTTGCAATATTTTTCTTTTTTCACTGAGTACATATTCTGGGTTATATTTATATTAGACGTTATTTGAATCAAAAAACATAAACACTGATTTGAATAACAGCTGATTATCTCCTGATATTTTTAAACTAACCATATCGACAAGTGACACATAATTCTGTGGGATCCGTCAACACTTCGTCCCAGTGGTAGTGGTGTTGGTTATCCTTACTTTCGAGTACTCGTTACTAATCGTTACTCTTTTACACAGTAATCGTTTATTGTATTCGCTACTTTGATTACTATGAGTAGTATGAGTATAACGATTTGGCAATGTGCGTCGTGTGATTAATGTCGAATTTAAACAAGTTGAATGGAACTGAATCTTGTAAGAAAATAGACGACCTTAAAATTTGCAAAATGTTATAGGCACAGTCGTGTTTAATGCAAACTTTGTATCTTCATACTGTATGCTTATCGAGATGAGTTATCATAGGATGGAGTGTCATATGACTCATATGAGCCTACAAACTGAAAATACTTTGTATTTACTAGAAATACTTAAAAACATGTCTTCTGGTCAGAAAGACTATCTGTATATGGGCTTAAGGAAATTCGGAATGGCATGTGACTTTTCGAAGCATTTCAATTAAGCATAATACCAGTATAAAAAATTCTACGTTGAGCTTGGTCTACACATACTATTGGTGGTCATACTGAATTATATTTTTTTTAGCAAAACAGTGCATGGAAACACGAGTCAAATTGACATAACTTTTATTATTGTCGTTTTCCTGAACGGTGGTGTTATCTTGTTGTCGTTTTTTCTGCCTCATAATACTGCCGAACTTTGATCCGATCCAATCGACTACTTATTCCTTTTCAGGTTCTCAAGATCACAACAATAAAAGCGAATTTGTGTCACGGTGTAAATAGGTAAACTTCAGATTTAAAAACAATTACCAAATTCTATGTCCGCCAATAAAAAAAAATGGGTTTCCAGGTTTCCATATGAAGGTGGGATGTCTGGCAACCCTGGTGCATGAGCGGCAGTGCTACAGTCTAACCAGCGTTACCACTCAACGATCAACGATTGTACAGGTACCGGATAGGGATACGGAAAACAGAGTAATCAAAGTAATCATTTCGTGCTCGGATTGGTACTCGTTACTTCGGGTATCTATGAGTAACGAGTACTCGAGATTCGTATGATTACTTTTTCAACACCACTACCCAGTGGAGCAAACTCTGCCAACTGTCGAAATAAACTTTATTAATTCGAAGTCTTATTTTTGTTTTACTGTGCCTGCTTAGATATTCAAATACGGCCACGAATTATTAGCGCCTGGCTATTTTAGGCCTTCAATAACTCCTTATTTTATATCTCTCCTTATTTTGTTCCCCGGCAGGGGAAAATCTTTCTCTATCGTCGCCATCCCTATATTGTATCCCCACCAGTCACCAGTCAAAAACCTTAACCATCAATATTTTATCACTATTTATAATCTTTTTAGCAGTAATTACTAATAATTTTAGGTCTATGTCTACAGTAATTGCATTATGCACCTCGGAGATGTAGGGATTAACATGTTGTACACATATCAGTGTTTTAGGATGGGGACGACCATACTGTTTTGATTGCTTTGAAGAAATTCATTAACCCATGAATTTATAACAAATGATTACTATTATGATGTAAAGAGGGATGAGGAATTGGTTGGAGTACATTTTATATTCTATTTTCTTGCAAATCCGCACAATTCAACAGGTAAGTGTAGCTATGATGATCATATATACACACAGTATATTTAACAAATTTCGAGATTGCTATGAATTAACGAACGACCAAACCTGCTGCCAAATTTAACAGCTAGAAAATCGACCTACTATTTCTCCCATTCCCATTCGCTGAGGGGATAACGGATGGTCAAATGTACACCTATAACATGAATCAAAATACATGAAAGTTGTCCTGTTTTCTCAATACAAAAGCATCATGTTGGAATTAAAAATGGTGTTGTTTATAACACAGTCGAATTTTCACGATTTTATTCAACATTTTAATAGAAATCACTGATATTCTGAGACCTTTGACAGCTTCCGTCAAATTGCATTTCGATAAGGTATTTTCCTATTGGTCCATAATATTAATGTTGGTGAAATCGGCCCTAAAAGAACTACAGACAACCTGAAACTTGCTTGTCGTTTTAAGGGGCTTGACGTCCATTTGGGAGCGGGAATGCCTACCCCAGGCGGTCCTGGTATGTGCTCCCAAAAATTTGAATTGATGGCTTCGCGCAATCTCGCCATGCTACGAACCTTTCAGACAATTGTCGGAACACACCGTATAGGAATCTGTAAATGAAAAGAGAATACAAAAACGAAGTTTCACCTGGAAGACAGATAAATAATATATTGTCAAAAGTGTCATGCAGTGGAGAAGGTCGCCTTTGTGACCGAAACGTTTACTACATTAAAGAAGAATTTCAAATATTTGTGGTTTCATTGGCGAGACAAGCTTGGCAGATTATAATATCTCATTTTCGAAATGTTTCGATAGTACATTGCCTCGCCGTGTAAAGTAGATCGCAATGGCCCATGGGTAATTCCGTCCATTATAAAATTAGAAAGGATTGGACGTTAGAAGAGTTTGAGTCCAGCTGCCGACGGGTCTTTGAAAGAAGCGTGTAGGCTACATATACGTCTCACTCATTAAAAGTGATTTTGACGGCATAGACGCCTTTATATCCAGAACAGCCGAGTGGTTAGCGCTTCAAAATAGCAATCGGTCGAACCCAGACTCGCGCATTGATGTAGTGTCAGGTGTTGCCTATATCAGATCGGTGCAAGGTCAACGATTAGCACAAGTCACTATTTTCTGAATCTTAATTTTTGATGTAATTTGAATGCACAACTATCGTAGTACAAAAACTTTTGGATATTCTGACTTATGCAAATCTGACGCTGAATATCACTAATAATATTGCGTAATATTCGAACACTCCCTGTTTATAGCGTTATACTCGAGAACTATTGAAAGAACTTTCTGAGGAATACACAGAGCAAGCCGCGATTTTCTCACAAAAGACAAGAATCTCGCAATTTCATGAGTTGGTGGCATAGCAGTTTGCGTTGGCAGCAAGCTTCTTGCTAGTAAACTGACATATCCTTTCTAAATGGAAAGGCGAGTTTTTGTGCGCTACGCGCGGCAATGTCAGCTAACGCTAGCAAATGATAATGGGTAGTTAAGAATTCCTCCACGGCCGCACTGGGCTCTTCTCTTCTTGTAACACTATTATCGCCACATTCAGTTTATTGTTATTAATAGTGGCGGCCATATTTGGCGGCACAGAGCCGCTTTCCAGCACGTTTTGCGCACCTGATCGGGGATGGCCTTCCTTCCATCTCATGCAACTTTCATCAGCGCGGCCATTCGCTGAATAATAAAATTTTACAATTCTGTTTTATGGGCGTACTCGACCGACGGACGTCTCGACTCTGCTTGTACTACACAAGCGCTTTGATGTTACAACGTAAATTGATTTGGTTTCCTTACGTTACGGCGACTTGAAAGGACATGGTCGACGCAATATTGTTGCGCCAAATATAGATAGTCCGAAACTCTTTTTCTGTAAACACAAATTATACAGAAAATGGTAACAGTAACAATCTAAAAAGTCAAGTGCATAAGGAATGACTAGGCTGACTTTAATTAAATTAAAAGACAGTGTCATATTACTTAGCGGTATCGTCGCAATTGTAAATGAGGTCTTCTAGAAAGAGCAGACCATAGCCCATTGATATTATACTATCCTGTTTTATTGGTGTACTCGACGTCTCGTCGTTGCTTGTACTACAGTAATCACACCCTGGCTAATATTTGTCAGACAGGTGTTTTTTACGAGCACGCACGGCAGCAGTACACAGAGCCAGTATAACCCAAGCTGTTAGTTAGTTAGCGCCGTTAGCTGCGCTGACATGCACATTTTTCAGTATTAATGCCATCGCCATCTTTGTTTTTAGATATGTAATTTTTTACATTTAAATGACATTTTCAGTCCTAAATTCAATGATATATTTCCTTAATTGGCCATGAATTTGTTGTTCGATGGAAATTATAAAGAAATAAAAAGGTATGGTGAATAATGATCATAAATAAGCAGAGGTAAATCATACAGATGTTCAAAACATCCGTCATTTTGTAGGCTGAGCTGGCTGTTCTCTAAACATTGTTCACCGCTCGATTCATTTTTTTCTCCTTCTTCTCAGTCTTCCAGACTTTGTTGCTTTGTTGGCGGATCTCGTGGGCGAAGCCAGAATGTGTGCATGTTGCCTCGCTAGACTCCCCTTTCCCTTGTACCCTCTAAAGCGCCACAGTACCCCAGGCCTTTGACCTCCGTGGTGGTTGGAGTATAAAAAAGCATTAAACGAACGGGGCTATCTCTATTTATTTATTCCAAATATGCTTTACTCTACTTTTTTCTATTCCCGAAAAAGGTTAAAAGCGATGGAAATTATCACAATCTATACTCGTGAGTAGATACGCTGCCATCTTGCCCTTGTCGTGAATCGATACGGGCGTCTCTCTGAGGGACAGTCGAGGGAAGCAGAAAGATCAAGCAAGCGGCAATGGCGCTGCAAAGAGCAGTAGCGGAGTTTAATTACAGATGGGCTATACATGTGAAGAGTTGAACCGAATGCATTGCATGCATGAACTCGGACAGGACCATATACAATATGCAAATTAGTGTGAGATCGCTCTCAGAAATAGTTGCCCGGCATATCTAAACGAACTAACCATTGTACATCTGAACAGTCAGAATTTGTCCACCTTTTGGAACAATGAATGCGTTTGCGATACCGCCACAAATCCTGGCTTCTAATCCTTCTAATACAGTGGGTCAATCAGTACAGCTCAGTGGTTAATTATGACGTCCAATGTTATATGATATCACAGAAGCATACAGGTATTGTTTTTTTATGGGGGTATGTAAAACCTTTAGTCTATACTGGGAAATTAGTGGCATTGGACACAAAGAATCCAGCCTCACCATCCACGTGACCAAGGACAATAACGGCAACGGCATAATTTTTAGTCAGTATTACAGGAGTCACTAGTAGAATCAGTGGCATATTTCTTCAACTTGCTCCATTATAGAGTAGTATAGAAAAAAAGTGCTTTACATAATTTATAAGACTGCAACAAATTTCCTATTGGATCTGATCATAATCTTTACATGCTAATAGCGTTGGGATCAGTTTAGGGTTAACTAACTTAAGATTTCCTGCAAATATTCTTTGTTTTATACTGTCACACTCAATTTCGAAGCTAAAAATAAGTATACCTATATGCTCAATATTGACCGAGTAGCCTTTCGAAGTTATGCAGTCACAGTTAGAAAAATATTTAGTTACACCAATTTGAATGTCTATTAGGCCAATTAAAAAAGTAATTAACTGTCTGACAGCTAACAAGTTAGTTAATGTAATTAAACTCCGATTTCTGAAACAGTTTACCTGAATCTATGACACTAGTTGAACTCAGCCAAAACGCAATCGTTTGCTTAAATCTATCGAACCATCCACTCAAATTGATTACACCAATTTATTTAAAATTAATGAACTATTAATATGAGTTTACCTGCTCCAAGTAAGATAATTTCATTATATTTATTAAATTTGTTTGATTAGTTTGGATGAAAAGGTTTGCCTGGTTTTGATGAATTATTTTATTTAGACTTAAAAGGATATTTGGATAATATTTGGAATTAAAAAAACAAATTTCATTTTACAGATGTATATTCTAGATGTCAAAAAAATTAAAGAACTCGTTATGTTGGTTGTTGTTATATATATATATATATATATATATATATATATATATATATGAATATATAGTATTCATAGTTAATTGCCTTAGCTGTTAGGAGGAGATATATAGTCAACGCCAAACAAAGTGGCGTGCACGTCATCAAGGTGGGTGTGTTGAAAAATTTACATTGTTGCCAAACTTTTTGTAAAATAATAAAATTTATTATTTACATATCTAGGTTTATAAGCAATATTAACCTCAAATGAGAACAAAAATAATAGTATAATAAAATTATAGATCTGTACTTGCATAATCATTAAGTATGACAATTATTGATCAGATGACACTATGAAACTACCATATTTAATTGATAGCTTAAAGGTACTGAATAAAAATCCAAATAGGGTCCTCCAAATTTTATGCATGGTATTTATTTTACAGAATTCATACAGAAAAATGCATTCTAAAATTAGGTAAGCTACTGGTGTAAGCTTTTTCTGTACAATAAAGTTAGTCGGAGTTTCTTTCTTCAGCGCTGTCTGAATCTGAATCTTCATCACTCTCAAAGTTGATTATTAAAGGTTCGATGTCTGGTCGATCAAAAATTCGTTCTCTTTCATACCATTTAAAAATTTCTTGCTCAGTATGTCGAACACTATTTTTCCACATGTCTGGGGTAACCGTTTGTAGAGCCTCGTTCCACATATCCAAACAGTCTTTTTCACTGTTACCATCTCTACCAATATGTCTGTTATAGTAACCTTTTGCTATGCCCCAAATTAACTCAATAGGGTTAAATATACAATGATAAGGAGGCAGACGAAGAACTTTGTGCCCATGTTGTTCCGCCAATTCATCAATCACGTATATTTTAGGTGGTTTGTTTCTAAAAAGCAGTTATTTTAAGAATAGGAATAAACAAAAGAAATATAAACTGTCGACCAAAATATATATAATTAAGAAGCATTATGTACCGAGCAACAATGCTCAATAGCTCTGTTTTAAACATTGTGTTTAAAAATGGTATGTTTTGATTTGTCAACCAGTCTTGGATATTTTTTTTTGTCCATGCATTGTTGGGCACTTTGTTCAATATCATGCTGTGATAAGGGGCGTTATCCAGTATAATCATAGATGGACTCTCCAATTTTTCTAATAACTGATGTTGAAACCATTTCAAAAAATTGTCCTGGTTCATCTCTCCATGGTAATCGCTCAATTTTGTTTTCGAAGAAAATATCGCTTCACTATCCTCAATAAACCCATTTTCATTTCCAGCATGTAATATAATGTATCTAAAATATATTAGTTTTAAATTTTATAGTGCAAATTGTGTAAAAGTACATACCTTTTACCATCTGTTTTAATAGCTTTCACGCTTTTTTGGTTTCCATTTTGCCAAGAGCGACCTATGGTCCCATTTTGAAATATCCAAGTTTCATCGAGGAAGACAAACTGGTATAAGGCCTCAACCTTGGCTTGATTGTATTGCCTTAGAAATTCCACCCTTTTCAAAGCTATACTTGGTAGTTCCATGAGCCCTCGTCGCGGATTGTCCTTAAGCCACTTAAATCCAAGATCTCTAAGCAACCGCCTTAAAGACGTGGCACTACCATCAAATAATGCCCTATCTCATAATCGAGACCATAAAGTTTGTATCGTAACTTGTTCTTCTGAAACCATGTGTAATATGACATTATAATTTAGTTAACAAATTAATGCAAATTTCTGATAAGTTATTATAATAAGATCTTACTTTTGTGATACATATTATAGATCACTTCTCGAATGGCACTTGTATCCAATGTCGCTGTGTTGGTTACACGTTTAATATAACTCCGCTTTTTCTTGGGCGATTCTAAATTTGCATCACTTTTCACACCCTCGGAGATACAACTAACTGTCCTTAAACTAATTTTTAAAGCAGCAGCAACACGCTACAAAAAATGAAATAAAATTTCACTATTATTAATATACATTACATATAATTATTAGTAACCTACCTCTTGAACAGCATTTAAAGGCAACAAAGGCCCGTTGTTGTCCCTTTCTTGCTCAAAGTAGTGCATTAACGAGGCCACGAGTTCCTTACACCGACTATTTAACTGTTTGGGCATCTTTATATACCAAAATTGCCTTTATCTACTCGTAAAATGAATAATTTTGTTTTGAAACAAACAGTTGTTGATTTACAGTATGCGGGGCCAAAGGATTTATAAAGATTTGAAATGCCACAAATTGATTCAGTGTCAAAATTAATACAAATGTCAGTTCCCAGTTTAAGTAAGTTTCAAGGTGACAATGTGTCAACGCTGCGAAATCGGTTTAGTGCGTTTACATGTCTATACGTGATTGGAGCGTTTGCAAAACATTTTATTTCGCATAATGCGTCTAAATTTATCAGAAAGCAACTTATGTGATATTTTAATAACAATGTTTATATGACTATTAACCATAATAAGAGAGTAATGACCATTTTACAATTTATATATCACATTAATATGAAACTGCAATAGAGCAATTGTTTGTGATAGAAACCTAGGCATTAGGTCGGGGAATTTTTATCGTGATGACGTGCACGCCACTTTGTTTGGCGTTGACTATACTTTAATTTCTTTGGGTAG